CCGTTGATCCTTCCACCTTTAAATCTTCCAGGATTCCCATTCACGCGGAATGCTTTCTCCGTAGCTTCCTTCCTTTGTATCTTTTCTGACCCCTTGAGCAGCTTCTCCTTGACTTCAATCAGCACAATGTCCTTCGCATATTTAACAATCGACGAAATCAGTTCGTGTTCTGAAGGCAGACTGCTGAAAAGGTTCACCAGCTGGCGCGACTCATCCACCGGTTCTCCCGTAGTTTGGAGTCACACTACCAGTTCGTAGAATTAATATAGATTTCCGCCATACTTGTCCCACTCTCCATTTTGAAGTAGTGAAGATGACGCGTCATCGTCGACCGGTTGTAGAAATCGCGGAGCGTTGCCATGCCGCTTTAGCGCGCGTAGCCGATCGAATTTTGGTTTGGTGCTGGACCTCAACTTTTTAAGCGATGATGCCTAGCGCCTTGGCGTCGTTTATCAGCCATGCTTCTGTTACGTCACTCTCATCCTTGAATGCCATGACCTGCCCTAGGAGACCCTTCCTTTCCAGGGTCATCCTCATGTTATACTCCCAGTGGTAATAGTTACCACTTCCCAGGAGGACTTCGGTTCGCTTGTTCGCCATAGTAGGCGAGGACGTGGTTTGAAAGGAAGGCTTGGTTGCGGCTGTTAACCTGTTGCAAAGAAGTTAAAAACCGAAGTGAATATATTGAAGGTCCTTAGTTCCCTCCCCTTAGCTAAATCTAAGCCTTAATGTAACGATATCCTGTGATCTCATCATGTAACCGCGATCCATAACCTTCTTCCGTAACCAACACCATGAAACACGCTGACACAGAAACCATCACCATGAACCCAACATGAAACGACGACATGGAGCGGCGTAATCTCAACAAATATAGAGAAAACAGACGTGGTATCGCACGGCATACCTGCATTAAAATGGGTGACCATCGACCCACCGTCGCTTGTGACCTAGTAAAGATAATATTGTCGGTGTGTATTCAATTAAAGTTTCTGGCTCCAAATCGCGAAATAGAAGTTGAGGTAAGTTGTACAGGATAGCGAGGTACAACGATCCAAAACGCCTGCGAGTGTCGATAGATGCCAGTTATATGTCGAGCACAGATTTTAAATTTGCAACACTGCGTCGAAGCTTAGTCCATGACCGAGCATCCTACAGGAATTTCGTAGCTTTCGAAAATCCAGCGCGGCCTGGATTGTACATCAGACTCTGCGGAACTGAAGCCGAGTCATATCTTTCAATTTTGCGCTAATAATTCACCTCTCGTCGATTCTTACCGATGCTGCCAATCTAGGGTTAAGGCCGTTGGGAATGCCTGCGTCAATCGCTTGACGAAAATAAAAAAACACTTCCATCGTCGTTGCCAATAACCTCAGCCCGTAGACCAATGGATTCGCGACCACATATAGAGTCTACGTCGTGTTGGCGAGGGTAATAGGCTACATATGTACTGGCAGCTTCAGCCCGAGTGAGCCAAAGGGACCTCCGTTGTCGCGGATGTAAACCATTAACCCAGTATGGTGTGATAAAAGATGAAACGTTTTAGGGGAGACCCACAAGACGTCACCTATCAGTAAGTTTCGCCGAGAGCTAGTTGCAGCCCGTTTACCGACCGCAGTAGCTGCCATGGTCATCATTTCTGTTGAGTACAAAATACTTGTAAGCCACTTAGCCTAATACATATCATCTCCATTTCTTTGGGCACCTACAGGCGGGAGTGCATACCATCGCGCATCCCGAAACAAATTATAAAATCAAGTTCTGTGGACTTGAAACAAATTCTGGAGTAGACCTGCAATGACGCGCAAGAAGATTAATTTTAGGTACCGCAATTGACCATGCAAGAAAAGCTCGATGTCAAATAGTGTGGGTATTTCCCAAGAAAGCACGAGTCTACCCCACGATAATCCAATCCGTTAATCCAATTCTCATCTGCGGTATCAAACTGCCCTACCATTAAATCGAAATACCGACAGGATGCCTCGGATGTAAGGAGCGTAAGACCTCGTGTGTCCAGCGGTAAAAATTTAACTACGGAAATGAAAGCGAAAAACCGTCGATTTTGACGTGTTTGAGGTAAGAACGGATTCTCCGAATAACTCATCTAATGTGAAAAGCACGTGTTTGATCGAAGAGTGATCACGTGGGTAGAACGCTGTGTCGTTGGCATACCCGGACACCTTGATCTCTGCAAATTTGTCTTATGATCTAATTATACCGACTCGTATGTCGGCACTCTCTTGCAGAACGTGATAAACACAAATCCAGAGATTATGTCGGACACGGAGGAAAAGAGGAATTATAAACAACAGTGGATTGAGCAGGCAGCCTTGTCGCATGCCCTAGCTGGCAACTCGTTGCCTGAAGTGATGTCCGTGCACAATGGACTGCAGGTCGTGTTGTGATTTAATGCTGCCACCACGGAAACACAACGTTGCTAAAACATACCTTCACCAAAACCGAGAGCTAAAACTAACGTTATAGGGTATCATAAGCGTTTGCAAAATCAAGTAGTAGTACAACTGAGCCATGGAGCTCGTCATCGAAAGTGGCTCCTTTATACTGCTGCAAACACATCCAGCGGAGTATGACTAGAGCGGTGCGGGACAAAACCCGCTTAAACGGGTAATGTAGCCCAAGAAAGTAGAGGCCGCACGCAGAAAAATAAATTTTGGCAAACAATTTATAATTACTGTTCAGGAGCGTAATCGTACGATAAAAGATCGGTTGGGAAGACACTGTTGTTTTCTTTAAACGATTATGTTCGCTTGCGCAAAAGAAGGCTGATAACACTCCAATGATGCCAAATGGAGATCAACAGCTCGATAATAGGCGGATGTGCATCATCAAAGTCTCGGTAGAAGGAGTTTTTTGTTCGCCAGAACCTGCCTCCTTACATCTTATAAGCCACTTAAACGATGCGCACACATCGTCGATAGACATGACGGTCATTACTTACGAGTTATCATTACCCTTGAAAAGCTAAGCTCTACCAAAAAAAGCCTGAAATAATTCGAGATCAGTGAATTCACGAATCATGACGGGTTCCTATACATCTACCATATCATTAGCGAGTGCCTAAGATCGACTATTTACGAGCGGTGCCTTCATATCGAGGGAAGCAATCGTGTTGTTTTGAAACTTCGTCGACAAGCGGGATTAAAATGACAAGGGGCATCGACTGGACAAAACGTTTGCTTAAATGGTAGAGATTCGTTTTCACCCTTTGCAAAGGCATCGACAGTCTGCAACCTGTTTGCGGTTAACTTGTGGATCTTCGACTGTAGCTGATATTACTAAGTTACCAGAATCTTGTGCGAGAATTAAGGAAGATGAATTCATTACAATTATATCAGCGTACGAACTTGTGTGCGACCGTTTAAGCTACTGCTCTTAGCTGCACGTCAAATTTTGTCTCGCATTTTCAGTAAGGGCCAATAGAGCTTTACATAAAAAAGCCTTTTCATCGATCCCATCATTCAGCCAAATTGTGTGCAGACTTACAACACGACGCTAGTATACAGACAGGCATCTGCTGCTATGCATCGCGCGAAGGGCGAGAATTGTGGCTAGTAATGCCACAAGGGCTAAGTAACGCCCCCGCAACATATAACCGATGTGTTACGAATCTGTTGCGGTCGGTGCGCGAGTTCGTACCGAGTTACTTCGACGATGTATGCGTTTATAGCCGGGCTATGGATGGAAAGACGGACGTGGAGGTGCAAAGAATCCACGTCCGGAAGGTTCTTACACTAATGCGAGAACATAAGTTGTTCGCGAACCTCAAGAAGTGTGAATTCGTAGCGAACGAAATACCACTTCTTGGCTACATTGTGGGTAAAAATGGTGTACGCCCTGACCCGGAAAAGATCAAGGCGATTAGCGACTGGCCGGTGCCAGTCGACGTCAAGGGGCTTCGAAAGTTCCTTGGCTTGGCGGCGCACTTGCACAAGTACTCGCGCAACTATGCCGAGATGACCGTACATCTCCCTCTTCTACTAAAAAAACGAGAGGTGGTCATAAAGCGCTGAGTGTCAGCACTCCTTTATAGGTATCAAACAAAGATTGATCCAATCGCCTGTGTTGGCAATTGCAGATCAGGATAGATTATTTCATGTGGTCTGTGACGCCAGCGATTTTGAAATCGGCTGCGCGTTAATGCAGTGCGACTCAGACGGCGTTGAGCGCATCGTATGTTATCAATCTCGTCAGCTGCAAGAGGCTCAGCGAAATTATCCGGTGCATGACAAGGAACGCCATGCCATGAAATATGCACTGGCCCAGTTTCGGGTATATATCTTAGGAGATAGGCCCTTCATCGTTTACACCGATGATGCGTCGTTATGCACGGCCGTAAACAGTCTATACCTCTTGCAGCGGATGGTGAGGTGGCTGTCTTTATTCGTGGAGTACAAATTCTCCGTCGAGTATGAACCAGGACGACTTAAAGTCGTTGCTGATGCTCTTTCGCGTTGGCCAAATTTCGAGGCGACTACTCAACACAACAGTAGAGTGATCCCACTGTAGCAACACTAACAGTGAGTGATCCGTCGTCGAATCTGCTCGACGACGTGCGAAAAGCATACGCAGAAGATGAGTCTCTTCTGCGATTGATGGATTACGTATCGAATCCGTGTAAGCAAGCTTTGAAAAGCTTGTCGTCTCAACACCGCTTTTTAACCGAACGGTATTCTGTTCGTGATAGACTGCTGTACTATACAGCAGTCAACGGCGACACACCTCGTGTCGTCGTTCGCGCTCATGATGATTTGCGATTGCGCATTATATATGAGTGTCACGATGCCCCAACAAGTGGGCATCGCGATAGAGAAAAGACTTACCTCATGGTGAGTCGTTACTTCTTTTGGCCCCTCCAGTATAAATTTGTGCGCAAATACATTCGCGCTTGCGAATTTTGTCAACGGGTAAAGCCTTGTCCTTCATCCCGCGCACCCTTGCAGCCTCTTCCGATTCCGGCAGAGTGTTGGCAGTCCGTATCGATGGGCTTCGTCTTCAAGTTTCCCAAAGACGTGCACAAGAATACTGGTATTCTTGTGTTTGTTGATCGGTTCAGCAAGATGGTACATCTTATTGCTGTACCGGAGTCAATCACAGCCCAGGGCCGTGCGCGTGTCTTCATCGACACTAACCTCCGACTTCACGGGTTACCCCACGAACTCGTGTCCGATCGAGACCCCCGCTTCACAGCGGAGTTCTGGCAATTCGTGTTCCGTTTACTTGGAACACGTTTGAAGATGTCAACTTCTGACCATCCCGAAACAGATGGTCAGACGGAACGCGTCAAGGTCTTCGAAGAGACACTTCGAGGGTATGCCCACTCATTTATGAGCTGGATTGAGCTCTTGCCGATGGCAAAAGTTCGCCATCAACAACTCGGTGCACGTGTCGACTACGCATACACCGTTATTCGTGAATGGCCTACGCCATCCACGTTTACCCGCCTTCTTAGAGTGTTTCTCTAGTCCAGGGGGAATGTACTCTCTCGAACAAAACCGATCTGTTCTTGCTCATCACCCGTCGACAAAGGTGTCGACGTGGTGGATGCCGATGTCGATGTGATCGCTATCGATGATGACGATGGCGACGATGCTGGTATATTTAGCATCGCCAATGACTGCCACAGTGAGGACGATGAAGCCCTCACTGGTGAAGACAACGTTCTTTCAGCAGCGCATACGAAGCGCACTGCTGTTGACAAGGATAATCAGCAGAGGAAATTCATGCTAACTCGCGAAGCGGTTATCCGCTTCCTTCAAGACTCCATTACAGATGCACTAGACAGACAGAAGAGAAACGCAGACAAACGTGAAAGAGCAAATGTTATGTCATTTGATGAAGGAGATTTAGCCTTACGGTCTACAATAAACTTACCGAAACACGTAGTGACAAACGTGGGCAGCAGTAAATTCCTGCCCAAGTATATCGGTTCGTTTCGTGTGGGGCGCCGCATGGGCAACGCATACACGATTGAACTACTTTGTAATATGCGTGCGTCATCCTACGTTTTACGTTGGACGTCTCCGCCCGTACTATCAGTACGAGCCCGTTTTAAGATGCGAAGAACGCCTCCGCGGTCGAGAGCCGAGACCACCTTCGAGTGGTCCCGTTTCAACGAGCCAGTCAGGTCAACTAGCGAAGCAACCTGCTCACGCAGTTGAGCGACGTCTCGACGAGCTGCAGTGAACTCGTCACGAAGAGAACAAAGCGAACGTTCATTCTCAAATTGTGCGAATACCAACGCGGCACGATCGTGCGTTAGGAATTTGTAATTATTTCTTACAAGATCCTCAAGCCCATAACGCCGAGACCCTTCATGAGCCAGGTCATCTTGCAACTGTTCCGTTAGACGTTTCAGCTCTTGAGCATCAAGTTGATCCGACCCTCGAGCCGGATTAGGTGTTCCCACCGCCACCGCATCCTTTAATGGACTCAAGCGGTGGTCAACGCTTCCTAGTGGAGCGTATTTTGAACCACCGCGATGTGAATGGCATCCGGACGAGTTGCCTCGTCCGCTGGCGTGGCTATCCACCGGCGTGGGACAGCTGGAAGCCTCGTGCCCAGCTGATTGTTGATGTCCTGGGTCTCGTCGAGCTGTATGACGAGACCTACCCGCTGCGTCCGAAGAAGGGCCGTCAGAAAATAACCTTTCCGAACGTGAGTACAGGAATGGAAAAGTGTCAATCCCTTCGGCCATCTCAGAAGAGATGCGCGCCCTCCAGTAGGGATCATAATGGAGGTAAGCCTCCCTAGGGGCACGGTTCAAGTTGTCCATGCAACCTGGACATGAATCACCCCACGAGAGACAGAGTAATCCTGCCTCTCTTGATAGCCGGTGCAGCTTTATCGCGCCCCGACCGGGTTGCGCTTCTCAAACCTGATACGAGCTGCATCAAGTTTACCGAACCAGGCCTCGCGGCCTATGCACTCGATGTTATGGATGAGGGCAGTCCATCCTTGCACCAAAGCCTTTCTGTCTCGAACACGGCTGCCATTGTACCACCTATGTTTAAAAAACTCATCGGTGAAGAATTCGTCCTCAGCACGGATATTTTCCGTGCTGAAATCAGGTGGGCAAAACTTTCTACAATCGTTTAGCGGGATTCGAGTTCGATTGGTAGTCATGCCGGCCAACCGGTCCAACTCCTTAAGTGTCGGCATCTAAGAAGACTCCACTTGAGGAGCTTGGCGCAGGACATTACGGTCCCTGGTCTCTTGATTGGTGCCAGCGTGAGCACTGACACCAGTAGCAGCTCTATCCATCGATTAACTTCGCTCGTGATGATGCTCAGAGGCATCGCTACCATCCACACGCGTCCTATTGTTGGATGGACTCGCGTGAGGCGGGGGTTTGTCGGAATAATCACTCGATCCGAAGATCTCGGACATGATACCGCCGCGTTGACCAGTGCCGGTCAACCTGGCTCTTGCAGTGTCCGCCTCGGGTAACCCGGAGGCGTGAAGTGTCGCCTTCGAGTCGGATACATCATCCGACTCGCCAGAATAGATGTGTTCTATTTAAGGCTCATCTGGATTACGACTCACGGTACCCGCTGCAGAAGCAGCGGATGTACCTGTCGCACGTGACGACTCACCACGTGGACTGTTCACAGCAGTAAACGACGAATTAACTGATGCTGAGGTATGAGAAGTACCCTCTTCGGCTACTTGCATGCGTGCAGCCGCCTTTCTTGCTGCTACATTAGCAACTCGCGTGGATTTTGAAACCACGCGTTCAATTGGCAAATGAATGGTATTTTTCCAACAAGTGCTACCTTTCCCAGAGTGATCCAACGGTGGTCACCCTGTCCTAATCAATTCTAATTCGATCAACGGGTGATTGATGGTTAAGGGGGGGTGATGTAATGGGGTAGCCCGTTACCTGAAATTGACACCAAACGGTGTCAATAGGGGTATTGTCTAGCATGACAATATTTTACCAATATTATCCGAGATGGATAATGTTGAAAGAACATTATCCCCTTTGGATAGTATTCATGCGCTGCTCCAAGATTGGTTGATAAAATGCATATCAACCATAGATTACCACCAATCGCTGCTGGACGCGCGCAATGAGTGGTAAGCAGGTTGTCGTCATGCGACAACGTGGATTAAAATAGTTAGATAACGATTAAAGTTAGATTGATAGCTTAACTAAATTAAATACAGTTCTCTTTTTACCTTTGCTTAAACGAGTCGTTTAAGTAGATAAGCTTCCTCTGCACGTACTAGTGTACGTGAAGTTTCGTGGCACCTGAACAAAGGGTGCCCCGTTACATTGTGTGAGAGGACGAGTAGTACGTGGAATACGATACCAACTGAAATGTCGATGGTGATGAAAAAAATGGACACCCCGTCTGCCAAATTGTGCATAAAAATTCGTAGCTGATCGATTCAGCGGAATAGTCAAAAGCTGTCATTTTGGAATTTTGTGTCGTACACTTCGTTCGCGTTCGGATATCCTTTCGTCACGGAGGTCACTATGAAAATCACGTTAGATGAAAGAACGGCGTGAACGGTACTTTTGGTGACCCATTAATGAAGAATGCAGACTTGATATTTTAGAGATTCATGTTTTGGTGCAGTCGGATAGGTAGCGTCCGTTGGGACATCCGTGCGCTTCTAAACGGCAGGGCATAAAAGCTGGAGTCGTGCGCCTCGGTACATAATCATTTTCGAGTGCCAACTCGCCGCTGCCGCTTGGTCAGGAAGCACAAAATTAAGTCGATGAGTCAACGAGTCGTAGCTAGTGCGCTTGACGTTATTGATCAAGTCCGAACCAGGGAGTCATCCTTCAACACTCCTTCACGCCGTTCGAAGAATTGCAGACATACCTACAAAAGGGAAAAGTCTGATAAATACGCTTGAGTGAGTCAATACTTCGACTAATCAAATGTAGTTCGTGTAATTTCTTTACCTCGTGAACTCTACACGTCCAAAGTTTGATTTTCTTGGAGTTTACAGTCATCAACAGAACCGAAAATTTCCTCCAATAGCACTTAAATGTATTTAAGAACACTAGCACCAGTTCTATATAGCTTGAAAATTGTACCGTCATATTGGACACAGCTTTTTGCACGCAGCAATATAAGGCGGCGCTATATTACCTAATCTAAAGTAAACGACATGGCAAATTCAGACATGAGTAATGTCAACCGATAATTTACGAAAAAAAATCATAAAAGGAACGTTCTCATTCAATAAGGTAACATCAAACTAATATAGACAATGCTCGAGGCATGATCGCACATTATCCTGCTTGCAATTCGCCTGCATTTGAAGAATACTGAAAGCTTTCGAATTGTCAAAATAGGTTTAACTAAGATAGAATGGAATCACAGCAGTAATAATCTATTGGTCATTATAATTAAGCAAATTATTACACGAGCCAGAGAGAATTTAGATTCTACAAATGGTACAACTAAAGTATTAGAGCTACTGCACCAAAATCACCATTAACAGTAGCAACACTAAGAACACTAACACCAAAAGCAAGATAGCAGTAGCTCAAATATCAGCATTATCAGCAGCTAAAACAACAATTAATCTGCACCAGAATCAACAATAGCAGTAGCGACATCTACAACATCAGCTTCGACTGTACATGTGCATATTATCGGCCGACGATGTAGGGACTTGTCAACGTCATATTTTTGCTGTCTGCTTCCGCAGCTAGTGGCTGCGCGCGCAGATTGTCTGCGGAAGATCCCCGTCTGCGGCATCCTTAAGTGCGGGGTTAGAGGACGACCGGAAAGTAATTTTTGACAAATAATCAAGGACGTGGGCTTGAATGTGTGCCATGTTAACTTGAGCGTACAAGGACGTGGAAATTTCTTTGTACTGTAATTATGTGAGACATGCTCCATATTCGAAATAATAGATGGGGCATTAGTGTATTTCCCCCATTGATCAAACAAACTGAACTTCCTACTGTAAAGGATGAATAAAAGCGTCTGCCAATATTTTTCACTAATCCTCCCGATCTTGAGCTCCACTTAAACGTTTCACGCAAAAAATGATTTCCTTACACTATGAGACTTTGCGAAGTCCTGTTCCTTCTCTTGACTTGCTTCGTAATTATACTTACCGTGCTACTATCCGAGCCTTTAAAGAAGCCGGTTGAACCGACGTTTTTCAGCAACTTCTTTACCATTTTCAATCCGTTCAACAGTTCGTCGAAAACTATGTTAAAAGACTTAGGCATAGGACGATTAGTTTTTGTTAATATTATGACGATAGCAAATTAATGTTAAAAATAGGATTTATTTTGTTCGTTATCGTGGTATTTCCAGCTTTACAGCGTTTTAATTGACCATCCGAAGACCTTAAATGGTTCAATTTTGCTCGCAGCAACCGTTTGTTTATTCATGTATGAATACTCCGCAGGATGATCTTGTAGAATGCGAATTGTATTGACCATGAATAGAGCTCCTTGCATAAACTTAATCGGATGAATGCGAAGCTTTTTAAGTGCTTCTTTAGCTTGAAGCAGGTTTTCCTGACTAGCAATATGAGCTATTGCTTCTCTTCGCAAATACGTTGGCACGTCTAGCCGTATGTATATGGTTTGTACCTGTAAACTAATTCTTTGTGACCTTACATTTTTCTTTGTGACCTGTATCGATTTTGAACGTTCAGTGCTTGGTGGGTGCACTGGCAAGCGTATTATGGGCATACTCGATATGTCTTTGGTGATCACCCTGGTTTATATCCTTAGTTTAATATCATGCACCTAGGAGCGTCTTCAACGACTAAGTTGTGCCTTTTGATTGTTCATCAGATTGGGCTCGATGAGCCGTGGTCATGATAAGTTTATTCCATTATCTGCGTTTGTAATTTCCAGAAATTTCGAAGAAAACATGCTATCTTTTCACCCATAAAATGACGTTAAGCAAACTATGACGAAAAGAGTCAGAGTTTAAGGAAAACTTTTTTATGATTTAATATGTTATTTGAGTCGTCGTCTGTGTGCAAAGCGGCAACTTGGTTCTTTGAAAGCTCACCAACGAAAATTACAATAATCAATAATCCTTCAGAGTAAGGAAGACCAATAACGACCGCCATCGTCAACACTTGCCAGCACTGTACTAAAATTGGAACATACCTTAGTATCCGTTTTAACACGTTAGCTGTCTTGTTTCCAATAGGTGCAAGTTTTAAATGATTTAACACACTCCTAAGATTATTTTGCATCCATTATCAGATTATTTTGCATCCATTATCAGTATTACAACTGGAAGATGCGCGGTACTACTACTTACTACTACTATGCGCATTTTATAGATGTACTTCAATTGGATGTGCTGCAAATGGATGTTCTGCAATTAAAGAAACACACATTCCGCGATAATTTAATTACGTAGTTAATTGTACGCAAGACAGACGATACCGTCTGTCTTGACCAAATCGCCATTTGGGGCACGACACTACTCCATGCGCGCTGAATCGTAAAACTTGCAATCACATCATTCAATTTTTGCTCGCATTCCGGCGCCAGCTCGACATTTTACATGGATAAGGGATTTTAAATATGAAGAGTGGTCTTACTATAATTTTCCACGCAAATGAATGAGAGGATGAAGATTAAAATAAGACGAACGCAACGAACTTCGTGTTTTGCAACGACAAAACGTTACCTGGGCAACATGACAAATTCAACTCGCCTGGCTGCAACATATGACATTAGCAAATACCTTC